CAATTATCCTATTCTTAAAATCTTTTTCAATTTTCTTTAGCGCTCTCTCAAAGGTGCTTTTCCAAGAGGCAACTGGACTTTGTTTTTCTTTGAAGACATTTTTCTTTGAAGCTTCTTGGATGAGAAGCAAAATGAGAGCCTGTAGTACAGTGGACTAAGCACTGTTATTAACATCTGCAGCTTGCAATTCCTGCAAGTTCAAATCTCACCAGGCTCAAGGTTGACTCAGCCTTCCATCCTTTCAAAGGTAGGTGAAATGAGGACCCAGATTGTGGGGGCAATAAGATGACTTTGTATAAATATACAAAAGTATGAAGGCTATTGCTTAACGCATTGTAAGCCGCCCTGAGTCTTGGGAGAAGGGCAGCATATAAATTAAAGCAAAAAAAAAAATGTCTTCAAAGAAAAACCAGAATGTCCAGTTGCCTCTTGGAAAAGCACCTTTGGGACAACTATAACCTAAATGACTGAGAATCTCCACAGACATTTTGCATTCTCTCTTGACATGTTTCTTTCAACAATCTGTCCAGCATGGCTCTTCTTGCATGTATAAAGTTAACATTTCAAGATAAGCCTCACAGAATTTTTGCTACCTTTCTGTTCTTGAGACCTGGACAATAGTGGGAATATGGACATCTCATACTTCACACATTGACATAAAAAGTATACAGTAAGTCTATAAGTGCATTTGGCTTATCTGAAACTTTCTGTAGGATAGTAATTTAAATAAATTTATCGAGTGCTCAGTCCCAATTTGATATCTTTTTTTACATCTGCTAAATTCACACAATATATTTCTAAAGTTTATCTCAAAACTGATTAAGCCTATATATATCAAAATAAAACTAATGTGGACAGAATGAAAAAGAAAAAAAAATTAAAAACATCATGAATGAAGATATACCAGAATCTGATAAAGGAACTGTTGGGGTTCAAACTATTCACAGACATTCTACATAATGAATTCACCAATAAACAAGGAATCAAACTTTGCGTTGAGTTTAAGTTTTCAAGCACTCTGCCTCCCAATCTCTGAGTTCCTGGGATTAAATGAAACTTCATGTGAATCTTGCTACTTTGGTTGTGTCTTGAAATGTACATTCTTACATGCATTCTAACTGGTGCCAGTGTTGTGAAATTTAACTTAGACAGGGGTAGATGAAGAAAAGGAAAGTGAACAAAGAATCAGCTGAGCAGAAGTATTAGTCATCTTAAATATTTTTTTCTAGACATAATTCTCCTATATTTAATTAATCTATTTACTGAAGTCTCCCTATTTTATTCTACTATTGATATTACATACTTTTATGGCTCAAGACTGTGCTTTTATGTACACGTAAGCTGGAGTCCATCCATGCAAGTGTTAACCACTGACTATTTTCTTGTGAGGATGTTCATTTCAAAAGCATTTCATCTGAATAGCATGAACATATAATACTAGAATAAATATTTTAGATCCTAAATCTGGCACAGATATTTCTATTACTAGACTGTTACAATCTGAACTATTCCAGGTGATTTAAATAACTGGTATTGATGAGAGGATAAATTAAATAAGCATCTCTAATTTAGTACACATAATAAAGAATTGCATTTTAACTTGGGGAAAAAACAAACCTAAACAATGCAATTACTGGAAAATATCATTAACCATTTATCTCATCCCCTAGCTCAACTGAAAATTAACTATCATCTTATTTTAATAAATTCCGGCTGTTGTTCCAGAGATATATTGTTGGCATTATGACAAGATGAATATGGAAATAACCCATCATACTTCCTGTCTGCATAACACTGAATAAATGAGCCTTACTCAATTGCTACCGAATAATACACTTCTGACCTTTGAAATGAACTATAAGCATTGAAAAGGATTAGGCAATTTAAGTCAATTGAAGAAAGAAAACAATCTTAAAAATCTATTACAACATATTCCATCCAGGCAAGAACATCACTTTCCATTGGATTAATACAAATAAACTCAACTGCAGCTTTTAAAACAGGTTCTAATTTATTCTGCCAAGGTAAACATCTACTCTATTGTATTTTATAGTCTTCCATGAAATACATTCTGTTTTGCAGATATCAAAACAGAATGAGGCTATTCATTTTAATAACCTCTGTTAATATGGTAAAGATGTGTCAAAGTGTTCCACACTTAGCCAAAAGTTCATATGAAAGTTATATAAGTAAAAAGAACGGTAAACAGTATTAAGAAAGAAACTATTACATGTTTGATCAAGGTGCTCTTGGGATGCTCCATTGATCACTGTTGGCTGGTGCCGCAACGGAGTGACTTGGCAGGGAGTTGGAAGTCTCCGAACCCCAGCCGTGCCAGCCAGGTGTGTGGGACAAGCCCAGGAACGCCTCTCTGGCAATCTGCCGGCCGGCAGATTCGTCGTTAGGGAAGACGGCCTTCAGCGGGCTCTGGCTGAGGCCATTTGCTCTGGAAAAGCAGGACCTCGACCAGCCTGGCCGGGAGGTACCTGCGAGAACTGCCAAAGCGGTCTTCAGTGGGATTGGACGTTAGCTCTTCGTGCTGGAAAGATGAGAGCTCTACCAAGGAGTGGGAGATTTACAAGCTGATTTTGCTGACAAGCAGCCCTTAGCGTGATTGGGAATAAACCCTTCATGTTGGAATCAGCTCAACCGATCTTGTGGGAGCAAATAGCCATTTACAAACAGTCAAGAATGGGCAGCTCAGCAAAGAAATGTCCATCCAGATGGACTGAGTCTGAAAGCTGGGAAGCAAGAGGAAGAGGAGAAGCTTAACAACTTGCAGACTCAGTCCTAGGACAGATAACCCATTCCTGACTACTGGCCCCAAGCTCAGAGAGAATGGAAGGCTGCAAAAACGTGAAGAAAGAGAAAGCTGGTAAGAAGAAAGAGACCTGGGATGCATGATTATGATGGCAGTTTCTATGCTAGTCATGACATCAGTTTCTATGCTAGTAACTGATTCAATTCAGCTGTGGGTATATGATTTGTTGTGTTTGAAATTAAAACCATTTAAATCTAATCACAAATATGTGGCAGAAAAAAGAAATTACAAAAAAGAAGGTTAATGGTTAAGTAGTTTGAGTGTACAACCAAGCATACGGTGATAAAACCAGAATATCAACAAAAGCTTAGTGATACCTTTGCATGCAAAAATGTAATAGAAATATACAGAATTAAGAAGAAAATGGAGACTATATTCTCCTTATATTGTCAGTACATCACTTAGACCAGTGAAGGCTAACCTTTTTGCCATCGCATGCCGGGGGTGGTGGGGGAGGTTCACGCACACATGTGCCCACACCCATAATTCTATGTGTCCAACCCTGCGCATGTGACACCCCCCCCCCCCGCTCCTGGCATGCGATGGCCCGGTAGGCCCGTTTTTTTTTCCACCTGGCTCCAGATTCTCTTTATGCATCTGGAGAGGGCGAAAACAGTCTTCCCCACCCCTTCAGAGACCCTCTGGAGGCCCAAAATGACCCGTTTCCTAACTTCTGGATAGACAGGAAGTGACTTTTTTGCTGTCCCCAGCCTCCAGAGCCCTCTAGGAGTTTATGGAGGCTGGGGACAGCAAAAAATGTCACTTCCTGTCCAACCGGAAGTTGGGAAACGGGCTGTTTCGAGACTCTGAGGGGGTGGGGGAGTCTGTTTTCACCCTCCCCAGATGCATAGAGAGGATCTGGAGCCAGGTGAGAAAGAAAAACAAGCCTTTCCCATCCCCCCCAGGCCCTCTGGAGGCAGGAAACAGCCTGTTTCCCTACTTCTGGTGGGCCCAGAAGGTCTGAAAATTAGCTGGCCGGGGTGTGCATGCGCACCGGATCTGAACTCGCATGTCCACTGATATGGCTACGCATGCCACCTGTGGCACATGTGCCATAAGTTCGCCATCACAGACTTAGACTGATGCCTATTAGAGAACAGTCATATTGGGAGAGCTCAACCAATAGCATTGACATTTAAACTTTCAGTGCTTTAATAATGTCTACGATAGCATGATTAATGTATAATGTAGACCAACAAGGCTGTGAAGTTTGTTATCTCTTAATCTTTCTTTACACTACAGCATTTGCTTTATAAAAACTTAAAATTTTACTACTTCTTTTAAAATAATTTTTTTCACTTGATGCACTTTACCACATGATGATGATATATAGAATAAAAATGAGTTTTCTGTTATTTACAGAGAGACAGATACACAAAACTAGGGATATATTGTTCAATGATTAATGTTAGAAACAAGTAATATTTTCATGATTCTAAGATGACATCCAAAATTAAAATAGTTTTGCTGGTATGGAAAGTTACTACGTACTCTTGATCTACCCTAATTAAAACAACAATCTATAAGTCAAAAGTTTACTTGCATTAATAAATTATGAAGGTTCATAACTGCAGCTAGTGCATTATTTTAATTGCTAATAAAGTCTTGCTTTCTAATCTGGAATCATGACAAATTACACAGAAAGCAAAATATCTCTAGTGCATAGCTTGTGAAACAGAGTTTTATTATTAGTGGGGTTTTGTTCTAATTCTTTACAAGCCAAAGAGATGCCAGGATGAACAGTGAATACAGCAACATTCATTATTGCTTACTGAACAAAGAGATGGAAGCTTGATTAAGGAATTTCCAAGCATGGTAGAATTTTGTGGTTAAATGCCACATTTCAAAAATTTAACCTGAGACGTGCCTTAGATAAATGTTCAAAATTTCATAAGCCAAGTCTGAATTCCAATGATGAATCACCCGAAGAGCTCTCCAAAGTATTATCTTTTTAAGAACTATATTTAATTGGTAAGCTCAATTGCTAAAATTTTCTTATCCTTATGGTTGTTCTCAAATATTATAAAGTATGTGTAATATTTGACTTCTGAGAGAGTAAAAAGATTCATGCAACTGTTGACATATTATTTTCACATGCACTATGATTGGCAGCCCTGTAATTGTCGTAAGCTGCTTTGACCAAAAAAATTATGGCAATCACCCTACAGTTAATTCTTACCTGTTCTCTGGCCATCCATTGTACTGAGCTTAGTCTCGTCAGCTACTGTTAAAAGGTAAATGTATAATGGTTAGCCTTGTTAGTGCCCACATCCCTCATGCATCCACTATTTATTTAGAGGACATTGCCAATATCACTACTCATGCAAATATGTCATATTATTCAGATACTTTTAAGGGGCAAAATGAGGCCCTGGAGAAAAATATTTAGGAAAATCCATGCTTTTGTGTCAGTCATCTCTGGATCACAGGCAAACTTAATATGTTATTCACATGCTAGCATGTCTCAATTAGTCGAGGCAAGACTACCACATATCAGCAAGAAGCAATTTGAGTTTTAAAAATCCCAATGGGGTTATAAAAACAGTAAATGTCTACATATTTATTACATTTTCTCACACTTAAAAAAACATATCAAAGCTCATGAATCTTCCCAAGGGATATGTAAAAAAGGCTTGGTTAGAAAGGCTGAATTTGAATTATTAAATGGGTTACTAGATTTACTATTGCTAGCTTTCCTTCAGCATTATCCCTGAGATATGAACCTGTAGGATTTCAAGATTAGTTAGTGCTGTCAGAATCATGAACTTATTGAGAATTTAGAAATTAAGCTAATAAAATGGAAGCAGCAATTTTAGATGAATACCAATCACTAATATTCCAGAAGACTTTTTTCTTAAAAAGAATTCATCCCCATCATATATAAATAAACTACTATCTTTTAAGAGAAACGTATCAATTATGTCGTAGTATTTTATTTTAGAAGAAAGATGTGCATTAATCTGACTAACTTCTTTAAAATAAGATACACTATAGGTTACATTTTTCCATTAAGATCTGTGACACTTTAAAGTGGTCACAGCATTCTACAGATATGTGTGTGTGCGAGCGTACATGTGTGTCTGTGTGTGTATATATGTATATGTATATATATGTATATGTGTATATATACACACACACTCCATCCATCCATCCATCTACACACACACACACACACACACACACACACACACACACACACACAGAGATGTGTATATGCTCCCACTTCTTGCCCCAGTTTTCTTGCCCACCTAGCAGTTCAAAAGCATGCAAATGCAAATAGATTAATAGGTACCACTTCAGTGGGAAGGTAAAAGCATTCTGCATGCCTTTGGCATACAGCTATGCTGGCCACATGACCATGGAAATGATCATTCAACAATGCTGGCTCCCTCAGCCAAGAAACGGAGATGAGCATCATGCCCTTGAGTTGGACATGACTGACAGGGAAGCCTTTACCTTTTATCTCAAAGGTGCTTTTTCAAAAGACAACTGGACTTTGCTTTTCCTTCATTCAAGAAGCTTCTCCAGTTCTGATTCTAGTCAAAACTGAAGAAGGATGAGAAGCGAAATGTCTTCAAGGAAATCCTGTTGTCTTTTGAAAAAGTACCTTTAAGACAACCAAGAGCTGGATGACTGAGAATCTACATAGACTTTATTTTTTATATGTTCTACACAGTAATCTGACCTATTGATAGCTGGCACTTATAATTGCTAAGCTTATGAAAAACTTGGCCACAATAAATGTTTTAGTTTGTAGGCATCTCCAACTTTTTCATTCTTTCAGCTATAATAGACTCTCTTAGAATTCTTTAGAAGGCAGTTTCTAAGCCAGATTGAGACTGCAAGTCAATGGACCAGAATTCTCCCATTTCTCTTTTTTTTTACACTACCTTAATACAGTTCAAAGCAATCTCTATCTTTTTGCTGGAATTACACCTAAGTCTAAACTGAAGACTTGCTAGACCCATGAGCAATGTCACAAGCAGATGACTCTAACCACATTCCTATCATTTACATCCAACCTTGCAAACCATGGACTCTATCATTTCTAAAGATGAAAGAGAGATGTCCTATAACAGGGCTCTCAAACTCCTGCCCCATGGGCTGGATGCATGGCCACACCCACGCCCGGTTTAGCGAAGGGGAACAAAGTGCTGATACATCACGTGACGCTGCTGTGACGTCGTGAGTTTAATATAATATGTGTCCTATAATATGTGCAGTTGCCATTGGAGGTTATTCTTTCAACCAAGTCCCATTTACTATCCCTGAAAGCGTTTAGGTCAATCGCTATTGCCTTTAGCAACAGATGTCATTAAAAGTAATGGGACTAAACATCCCAGCTGTTAAATGATTAAAGATTAAGCTAAAGCCGAATGTCTAAGCTTCTTAGAATTATGTTAGAATCATTCGTTAGAGAAAAGGTTTTAGCAATGCTAGAAACAACGAGAAATATGTTGTTGTAGAATTATTTTAAAATACAATTTTGAATTATTTTCCATCTCCTGAAAAACTACCTATTCAAAGATGTTTAGAGCTGCTGTATATACTGAACAATCCTGTAACACCTAAATCTCTATAGCCATAACATGTTAAATAAACATTAAAATTGTTGAAGCATATATAATGCACTTGGCTTGATCATATTTAAATTTTTTCATGCCACATTATTGAACTCAGCTGCATGGGATAATCAACTGCATAATATTACAAATAATTTAAATGCCAACAGGAAACAATAAGGAAAATAATATCAATATACCGTTGAAACACAACAATGAACAAAGAAGGACTGTGACCAATACCTAAGTCCATGCTTTTAGATTTCCGTGTTTTAACGATGTCTAATTGGCTGGCATCGGAAAACTGTTTAGCACGTTTTTCTGACATGCTCTGGCGTCCAAATCCTTCTCGTTGGAAAGCCAATCCTGGATCCATATCTGGACTTAATACGCTTTAAGAAATATAAGAATAAATAAATATAAAGAAAGTTTAACTAAACCATACATTAATGTTATATCATTAGCTTATCAATAAAATAAAAAAAGTTGAAAATCATGAAAGGATATTTTACTTTATTATTTTTATTTTACTTTACTATTTTAGATTTTATTTTGTTTTATTATTTAATTTTACTTTATCCCCATGAATATAGAATTATTAGCCTTTCAACCCAGGTTTTAAAACAAGCTTCCAAAGTCACTAAAATGAGGACCCAAATTGATGTGGGCAATATGTTGAGATTTGTAAACCATCTAGACATTGCTGTAAAGCACTATGGGACAGTATATAAGTCTAAGTGCTATTGTACTTTGTTCCTGAACTGATAAGCAGAAATCAATGTAAAATGTATTTTGACCTTTATAGCACTGACAGTTCACATTTCAGCCTTTCAGACATTGTTGAACTTCAAATTTTAACAGCCTTAGCCTATATAGCTCATGGATGGTCATTATTGAGTTTGTCACTCACTAGTTTTTAGGAGGAACAATGTCTGAATGTTTTAGGAGGATCTAATCTTTTTTTCTAATTCTAACTAGATTAAATCCATTTTTTAAAAAAATTAACCACATTCACATTTTAGCCAAATTGCATCAAACTCTGTAGCAGTATCAATTTAATTCAAATCAAACTCTGTTGCACACATTGGTCAATCAGTTGACCATATAGAGTAGTTGTTCAATATTGTTTGGAATATAACTTCATTTCATTGAAGATGGGACGGGATTTTCAAACAACAAATAAATGCCATTTATTTATAGGTAGTCCCCAATTTACACCATTCATTTAGTGACCATTTGAAGTTACAACAGCACTGAAAAAAGTGGTTTATGGCTGTTTTTCCACACTTAATGACTGTTACAGCATCATTATGGTCATGTGATCAAATTTCAGGAGCTTGAAAACTACTATGTATTTATGAAGGATATTATGTCCCGGGGTCACATGATCACCTTTTCTGACCTTCTACAAGCAAAGTCAGTGGGGTACAAAAAAGTAGTACAAAAAAACCAGATTGTTTTAAAGAGTCAGGTTCTGCTTATTTTCACAAAATATCTGATACTGCCAGATATTGGCCTCCCTAGAAAAAAATAATTCCATAGAGTTGGACTGAATATTTATAAAATGTCATACTCAGAATTTACTGAAAGTGTCCAAAAAGCATTATGTTGTATTTTAGTAAGACATTTCCAAAATGGTTAACAACCTGTTGTAAAACAGAAAGAATGAAATCACATAGTAAAACTGAACATCTCACATTAATAGCCCTTAATATTTCAGACTGATGTTAATGCCACTTTCTATTATTATATTGATTATTATATTATTATTATTATTATTATTTACTTTATTCAATAAACATGAAACTCAGTCAACTGAACATTCAAAAATGCATTCCCAAATACCATTGACTGGTGCTATTGGTTGATACGGGTTGCTGCCAGCGTCCTAGGTATCAACCAAGTATCTTCTTAAGATGTACAATGTTCCAAGTAGCGCAGTTTCTTGCAGTTCCGCTGGTGTTATTGCAGGAAGCTGCAATTTGTTGATGTATCTTATAAAATTATTGGATATGGTACCAAGTGCTCCGATGACAATGGGTATCACTGTTACATATTTCATCCATAGCCGTGTAGTTTCAATGGCCAGGTCGTGATATTTTTTATTATTATTATTATTATTATTATTATTATTATTATTATTATTATTATTATTAATTATAGCCAGGGTGGTGCAGTGGTTAGAGTGCAGTACTGCAGGCTACTTCTGCTGATCACCGGTTGCCAGCAGTTTGGCAGTTTGAATCTCACCAGGCTCAAAGTTGACTCAGCCTTCCATCCTTCCGAGGTGGGTAAAATGAGGACTCAGATTGTTGGGGGCAATATGCTGACTTTGTAAACTGCTTAGAGAGGACTGTAAAGCACTGTGAAGCGGTATATAAGTCTAAGTGCTATTGCTATTATTTCTAGAATCAACAGGCAACAGAATATACTATGACAAAGAAGTTGACTCTTTAAAGAATGTAACCGTGTTATGACCCTCAGTGTTATTAAAATTCCATGTATTAATCCTTCTTCATTGTCCCTTGTTTTCATAACATTTTCATCAAGGATTAAGGAGATACTGTCAGGCTGGAAAAAGCATATATTTTCAGCCATGATTCAGAACAGCTGCCATTCTTGTTTGGATAACCCTTCTTCCATTTTCTTTACATCAACCCCTTGGTGCTTTGAAGCAAACTCACAGAAAACACCTTCATTTTACAATCCTTCCTTTGTCCATTACCAGCAGGAAATTAATACAAAACCCTCCCTTGGCTGCTGTTTATTTTATTTTACTGGGTTTCTTTTTAACAAATAGAATGCAGTCAACAGAAATAAGGATCCAAACAGATCTGTCCCATTCGTAATTGCATTATTCTCTTTGAACCTTTGAAAGGGCAGGCATAAAGGCAGTTGTAGGAACAAAAGTAAACCTTTAAAACTGCTCATTCTTTCTTTTTCTTATTGGGTTTTTTTTTTTAAATGCATGCTGTTGAAATGCATAGATGCATTTCCAAAATCTCAGTTAGTTAGTTTTTAGGTATTTTGTTCTAGAAAAACAATGGTGGGAGTCTGAGAAGTCAAAGAAGCAGCAGTGCAATGTGATAGAGAACAGCATTGTAATAGGGGAAGTAATGGCTTTTAACATAACAACCGAAAGCTATTTACAAGATAGAGTAAGAGTAAAATTAATATGATGAATACCAGTGCACATTGGTACATATGTGTGTGTAATGAATAGCTGACTTGCACAAAGCCAAATAGAGATTCTTGCTGTGGGTAATAGTTATTAAGATATTGCTGACACAATTATATCAAGCTCGGGAGGATATGAGACTTGGAAAATACTCATACTTCAACCTGCTTGTGTTAATTATCACCACAAGCCTAGTAGGAGTTCCATAGAAAGGTCTTTTATTTTGCTTATTGCTGAACATAATTACCACACATACAAATTATTGTTGTTCTCTACAATTAGTAAAGATTGTGGGGAAAAAAAGATTTAAAAATTAGGAAGTATTTCTTCTATGTAAGATAACAAAGAAGGCCCAAACAATCATTGCTGCCCCCACTCCAAAATGCTGATATGAGGCTCCATGCCACAATAATATGAAATTTGCTTTCCTCACTTAAGTTCTTAGATGGCTTGACAGGAACAAGAGATAGAAAGAGTATTCTTTAGAACTGATGAAGCTTCTTCGGTGAGAAGAAAATTTTCAAAGAGAAAAATCAAGAAAGTCCAGTTGCCTTTTGGAAAAAGGACTTTGAGACAACCAACATCTGGATAATTGAGAATATCCACAACATTTACCATTCTGCTGATTCATTCACTATTGGTTTACTCCAAGCTCCAGCATCCATGGTTGCAAAACCTACGTCATCATGAGAACTGGAAGATGATTGGTCTGAAAGATATGGAGGTAGTACAGGTAGTCTATCATCTTCTATCATTACCATATCATCTGGAGGCATGTTGACTGTTGGAGAAAGCTGGTATTTACCTGCAGAAAATGGATGGAGAACTATTTTATTTATTAGATTTCTAACACGGCATTCCCTCCTCTAATTGTTTTTGTATAACAGCAAGTTTGTGGCTTAAATTGGACTCAAACAATTAACCCAAAGTCTTTCAGTGAACTTCTATTGTCAACATTGACTTTAATCAGGGCAACATTTAAAAATATACTACTAAGAAGTTATGTAATTCCAGTACTGTTTATTTTGATATAAGTGTTCATTGGAAATAGAATTTCTAGGCATAGATTTCAAAGTTCTAAATGTCTGTTGACATATAGCAACTATAATAAATTCCATATAAAAAAATGCCTAGAAGAAAAAGTGCCTAGAAAAATCTCCAACAACACCAAAAATAGATCTATCTTCACCTTTGACCTACATTTAAGAGTATATTAGGCATTTATGTACAATGAATCATCAGTGTCAATGAATCTCTCTATCTGTTTTTCTCTTAGAATAGTCATCATTACGATCTGCATGAAATGTTCAAGTATGCACTATGTTTAACATACATTTTGTTTTTGTCATTGTTTAATATCAAAGATAAAACTGAAAGTGAAAATTTTTTCTAAGGCTGAACCATTGAGTTTATGGTGCTGGAATTAATCCTAAAGACTTTCTTATCTCTAAATCAGCCTCTTACCTAAGGTCTACAGGGCAATCAACATGACCTAGAAGGTTAGCTAAACAGAGTGGAAAAACCTTTCAGATATACAATTCATGTTCTCCAGACCTGACTGACAGTTCAAATTCTGGCATACTTGTGAAGAATTTTGATTTAAAATATTCAACTGGCGTAAAGAAACCCACTACTTTGGGGCGATATTAAATTTTCTTAGTTTAGCTAATCCTAATCAAATCTTAACAAAGCTAATCAAAAAGCAGGTCTGGAAACTTTAAAAGAGTCAGAAGCAAGTATGGTTATCCAGTAAAGTTTAAAGGAAAAAAAATTGAAGGAGGAGGGGGAGGGGGAGAGGAAGGAGGAGGAGGAGGAGGAGGAGGAGGAGGAGGAGGAGGAGGAGGAGGAGGGTATTCCACTGAAGTTCCCTACTGTCAAGCTGAAATGTATGTGCTCAAGTTTGCATAGCAGCTAATTCTTTTCTCAGCAAAAGCTTTTTTGATTGATAGGTTAATGTTGAACCTAGAAATCCACTCGTTTTCAAACATAATGCCTACAAGATTGTTAACTTTTTGGCTAATAATATCTCCAAAGAATGGAATGTGAAACGGAATAACCTTATGGCATTTTACAGATCATGACTCCAAGGTTGAGAGGCAGAAGTAATTCAGTGGCATGCCTAGATTTTCTGTGCACTTCTTAATATTTCAATAAGCCAGAATGATGATATTTTAGTAGATAAACTAAAATCTGAAAGTAAATGCATTTCTTTTTCAGTAGATTGAATCAGGGAGTTAAAGAAGAACCTTCTTCAGGCTAATCCTAGAAAGAAAGCCCAATGAAAAAGAATCACTAAAGGCTTGCTATAGGTAATTTAAAATGATTCTATTTGTCTTAATCAGCTTAAGCCCATTGATGCCAATTTGATAAAAATACAAGCTCCTTTTTTTATATACAGTTGGTCCCTAATTTATCTACTTTCAGCTTAGTATGTGTAAAAACATAGCTGAATAAGACTAAGTAAAGGTAAAGGTTCCCCTCATACATATGTGCTAGTCATTCCTGACTCTAGGGGAAGGTGCTCATCTCCGTTTCAAAGCTGAAGAGCCAGTGCCGTCCGAAGACGTCTCTGTGGTCATGTGGCCAGCATGACTAAAAACCAAAGGCGCACGGAACGCTGTTACCTTCCCACCAAAGCTGGTCCCTATTTTTCTACTTGCATTTTTACCTGCTTTCGAATTGCTAGGTTGGCAGAAGCTGGGACAAGTAACGGGAGCTCACCCCATTACGTGGCACTAGGAATTCAAACCGCTGAACTGCTGACCTTTCGATCAACAAGCTCACTGTCTTAGCCATCAAGCCACCACATCCCTTGGATAAGACTACAATTTAAAAAATACTTTTATGATAAAACAATAAATAATATAAATTAAGAAATTTTGGAACCTCCCCCCCCTCCAAAAAAATGCTCTAAATCTAGCCTGGGTGAATATATAACAATGCAATTGAGAATTGAGAATTGAGAATTTCAAAGTATTTTGTCACATATTCTTTTTACTGATTTGCACAAAATACTTAAGATCATTACTTAGAAGAAGAGTTTGTCTTTTCCCTTCTTCACCTCCTTCTTCTCCTCTTTTGGGTGTGTGGATGTGCAGACATTATTAAACAGCTTTTTTTCTCCTTTTTCAATTAACTTTCTCTTGCTGAACTCAAGCTTTTCAAACTGGCTAATCTTAACTACAGTTTGTTCACCGAGGCCAAGTTCAAATCATCTTAAGAAATCAGCTTGTTTCAACAAAGTTTAAGATTAATTGCAACTGAGGTTTCACTGTGATTAAACTAAAATGGAGGTTCATTCTCTCACCAAGCGGTGAGGAAGGGAGGGACCTCTGTTCCATGGTTCTAATATGATCCATAACCTCCTGATCTTGCTCATGTAGCCTCAAATGAGGCCTTCCAATTACCTTTTGCCTGAACCGGAAGTAAAAAATGCTACTGGTTCGCCAAACTGGTAGTAAAAAATGTAAAAAAAAAAAGGTTCCGATGATCAGCTGAGCGCCACTCGATCATCAGAACTGGTTTTTTTAACTTTTTAGGCATTTTTTTACTACTGGTTCGGGCAAATAGGTAGTAAAAAATGCTTTAAAAAAGTAAAAAAAGAGGCTCCAACGATCACAGCTGTGTTGCGTGATCGCCGGAGCCTCTTTTTTTTTTTTTTTTACTTTTTTAAAGCATTTTTTTACTACCTATTTGCCTGAGCCGGTAGTAAAAAAATGCTTTTAAAAGGTTAAAAAGAAGAGTTCTGATGATCGCGTGGCACAGCTGTGATCATTGGAGCCTTTTCTTTACTTTTTTAAAGCATTTTTACTACCTATTCGCCTGAGCCGGTAGTAAAAAATGCTTTTAAAAGGTTTTTAAAAAGGTTCCCATGTGCATCACAGCTGATCACCCACCTGCGCTGTTCTACTTACCTTCCAAGGTCTCCTTTTGGCATGCACCGCGCATGCACATGTGCAGCTCGCATTCGTGTGGACTGCGCATGTGCGCGCTCAGTTTGCATTTGGCGCATAATGCACATACACAGCCAGCGAACTGGTAGTAAACCAGTTCAGATTTCACCATTGCTTTGGAGAGAGATGCCTTTGCAGGAAGTACTGCTGGAAGGCCTTTAAATGTGACTCTACCTTGTCTGCCTTTTCAAACTTGAGTGTGAACTTCTTTGCAGGAACAGTTTTTGTCCACTCCTTACATGAAGTAGGAATAGTAATGTTGTGCATGTACTCTACAAAAACTGTGATTGCCTATCTACAGTTTGTGAAAGACTAAATGGATAAACTAGAAGGCTACTAGAAGTAGTTCTGACTTTTCACCAGTAACAGAATGACTATGTTGGAATTGAAATGAATGTATATATTTATTTTATTTATTTAGGAGTTTTGCTTTTGTTTTTGGCACTGTGTGCCGTCACAAAGTTGCTGTAATGAACAGATAAACCCATAATGTTGAACTGAGCTATTGAAATAAATTTCTTCCACTTATAAATATTAATGGGCAAATTAAGAGAATTTGGTGCATTAGCAAGTTTCAGGATTAATAAACAAAAGATAAAGATGTTAACAAAACATAAAAATAGAAGATGAAACATAATTGATGAATAAAATGGACCTTGAGATTGAGAAGATGATAACCTAATTACGATCGCAAACATGAACGTATGTGACTTCAAAATAATTATGTTAAGACATGAAATGAAGTTATAAGAAATATGTTAAGATGTGAGAAGTTAAAATTGTCAGTACTGAGGAGAATTTATGTGATAAAAATGAATGTCTTTGCTAAAACGTTGCTTTTGTTTCAGACCATGCCTGTTTAAGTGGCAAAAGAATATAGCTAAAAAAAAAAAAAAAAAGAGGGGGTCAACTTATTCTCCAAAGCACCTGAAGGGAGGACAAGAAGCAATGGATGGGAACTAATCAAGGAGAGAAGCAACTTAGAACTAACAAGAAATTTCTTGACAGTTAAAATAATTAATCAGTGGAACAACTTGGCTCCAGAAGTGGTGGATGCTCCAACACTAGAAGTCTTTAAGAAGAGATAGGACAACCATTTGTCTGACATGGTGTATAGGATTTCCTGCCTGAGCAGAGGATTGGACTAGAAGACCTCCAATGTCCCTTCCAACTCTGTTTCCAACTATTTGTCTCCAAGATAAATATATATTACAGATGAAAATGAGAGGGGGGGAGTGATTTTACCTACTCTGAAATTGTATTTTTTAACTCTTTGCTTGGTTTAGATAAAGAATGGGTGCTGCTGAGAGAAAAGAAGGCTTTTGGAGTTAGAAGGACAAGGTGTGAGATTTGGATGGCATAGATATTTGTGGTATGATAAACTTAAGGTCAGTGTGGATTTCAAATATCATTGTTGGATGTGCCATATTGAGACCATGATATGGTTACAGTAGTTCAGGTTGTGTCCATATATATTTTTGTGGCTTATCATGCTTTCTGGATGATAAAAAAGATAAAAAAGCTAAAAAATTTGGATTCAAATACATACAGAGGACTTTAAAGATTACCATACAACTGAGACCAGAGATTTTTCTTTGGAGATTGATGGATAAACAGTTGAAAAAAGTCATTAAATTTTGTTTTTGTACATAATAACTTCAGTGAGATTACTGTATGCAGAAAGATGGAAAAATCCAGCAGCATCCACAATGGAAGAATGGATGGTGAACATAATGGAACTTACTGAGATGGCAAATTGACTTTTTTGATAAAAAGAAAACCACAATATATATTTATTGCTGACTGGAAACTTTTTGCATAAAACAGAAAAAATGAATTTATGATTCATGGCTTTGATGATTAGACAGGATAGATCATAGACAGAAGAGTTATGTTATAACCACTGAGTAAGGACTAAATTTATAATTGTATTTATATCTGCTGTAAAATAGATCGGAGTTTTCATTTTTTTTTCTTACTTTATATTAGTTTGTATTAGTTTTATCATATGTGTGGATGTATGTATAAGTTATGTGTGTGTGTATATGTATTTGTATATATATATGTGTGTAGTGTATGTATGTATGTGTGTAGTGTGTGTATGTGTGTGTATAAATGTAAGTTTTAAATATCAAACTATATATAAAATAAAATATATAAAGAAAAATTATATGAAGAAATTATGCCCAAGCAGTTCACTGCTTGCTGCACTGAATTCTGCAATCCCCTTGTTGCATTTGAATTCTTACCAAAGGAATGAAAATATGCACTAAGCTAAAATATATCTGGCTTAGAACTTAGAAAATGTAAGTACAGCTAGTGAAGATTAAGAATAAGTCTTGAACTTTTAATCTTGGAAAACTGCATACAATTAATATCTCCTGGATATAGCACGTTTAAGTAACAACCAATTCATATTTCAATGTGGCTATTTCTTTTAAGAGTTAACAGTAAAAGGAAACTAGGTCACCAGAGCCCAGAAAAACTCAAAGAAGTAGTGCAAGATTGGAAGATATGGAGACCTGGCCCATGGAATTGCCAAGTGTTGGATATGATTGAATGGATAACATCATCATCATCGTCTATTTTTAAGTTAACATAACAGTGAAGAGATTTTATTAGCATGGAGTTCATCCATTGAAATCATACATTGCCATGGCTATTATGTAGACCTCCACAAAATCCAATTCTGATTAATCCAGCCACATGGCAAACAATTAGGTGTTACTGACAAATGATACATGTCCCAGGTTAATGTTACAGAATGGGTCAGTCACAGGGACCTGAAGTTTTGTCTTCCAAGCTTTTGGACTCTTGCTGGAGCCTATCTTCAGGGTTAGAGAGAAATTTCCTGAAGATGGGCTCCAGTATGAGTCTCAAAGCTCGGAAAACAAAACCTCTGGTTCCAGTGACTGACCTAGATTGCATTGTGCTAGATATTACTGAATTTTAAAAACTGAGGAATGAGTGGAAATAGACTACAATAGGACACTAACTCCTTTGGATTTAGAAATGGTAAGAATATATGTGGGGATGATCTGCCAGAAACCCAGTAAACTTAATATGTTATTTATTTGCATTGCACAACAGAGGCAGACAATAGCTGAACAAGCTCAAGAAAAGTCATAGCCATCTTAAAGCATTTCAAATGGGTGTTATGCCTTTGCATTATGTCAAATCACATTTTTCACACTTTCTCCCTTTGTGTGCAAAGCACTGAACACCCTACTTGCCCAAACTTTTGTTGCTCTTTCACCACAGTAAACAAACAAACAAAAAAAAGCAGAATATGTATTGATATTCCATAGGAAGTAAATCCTCTGCAGAATATCTTTTTAAATCAAAATGTTTCAGAATGCAAGCATTTTTAATGAAATGGTTCTCTAAGTAAATATCAACATCTCCCAACTCTTCTAAACGCAACACTAATAAATTGCTACAAGCAAAGAAAAAATTTCCATTGGTGACTCCACAAAGAGCAGAATACATGAGGATTCACAAAAGGATGCACAAAATTAGCATTTTAAGATCCTGTGTGACTTTTAAACAAACACCATCCAAAGTCCAAAATTGATAAGGTTCACATTACCATATAGAGTTATGGAAAAGTAAACTCAAAACTTAAACTTCAGTGGTACTTCCTTGATCATCATAACTTTCATTGAACTTATAATTAATGAAGCTAGACTGGGCAGACTCTCACAAAGTAGCATAAAGCCTGTCTCCAACCTCATTTTTGAAAAAAAAAATCTCAGGTTTATCATTTGTACTTTGGTCAGACACTTATTTAATCAATACATTGATTTCCTTCAAAGAAAAGTTGGGAAGGGAGAAAAGCAACCTTTTAAATTACCGGCTCCAATTTCTTTGATCCACACTGCCTTCACACACACACACACGCACGGGAGGGGCAGGGAGAGATGGGATGACACAGAGAGAGAACACAGCAAGATAAAGACAGAGAGTGAGACAGTGAGAGAGAGAGAGAGAAAGACAGAGAGGCAGAGACAGAGTGAGACAAGAGCGAGACAGAGACAGAGACAAGCACCAATAATCTATTTGCAAGACCCTATGAACTGGTTGATAACCTAGCACAAGGTAACCAAGTCTATTTGACTTACCCATTAGTCTACTCAGGGCAGCATTTCTAGTGGGTGATTCATTGAGCCCTTCAACCCCACTGTACAGTGAATGGGAAATCCTACGCTCCCGGTCATCCATTACTGTCTCAATGGGCAGCTCCGGCCCCAGAGGACTCCCAGGTGATTCCAACTGCAGGAAAAGGGGGAAAAATCATTATTGAAGTCCCATTTCACAGCAAGATGAAACCAAACAAATTACCTTAGGCTTGGAAATGGCTGGACATGAAATAAACTAGGAATTCTCAACCTGTATTTCAATTATTTGCACTGACAGTGCTGCTTATTGACTAACCATCCAGTCCAGATACTTGGCACATTTTCTACAGAGTTTTGTCAGACTCTGTGTTTAGATAACAAATATAACAAACTCTTATATTTTCATTGATAGCTGACTTGTAAAATAGCACTCTTGCATTTTGGCCTGATTTTCCCCTTTTCTAAAATGGTTGTCAGGGCACCAACCAACAGGCTCCTGACGAGAAAATGGGAGAGTTTTCTCCCTGTAACTAATAGAATAAAATAATCTCTCTGGTCGTAATTAGAAATCTGGCTTCAGAGTTTTTTCTAGTGAAGCAATATGCTTTCATATGCAATCATATTCACAAGAACATAAGTATCAACACGGACAATAAATAACTATAATATTCCAAACTCTACCATTATTTCAAATTACTATGGTTTTCTATTCAGAGTAAATTCAGTCATTTAGCTTTGGCAGTAGCAAAGTAAAAGGCCATAGGAATCGTCAGTATTTCTGATCTTTAAGCTGACAACTTTTCAGAATATGGCCAGTATATCTACCACTTCTGTTGTATTCCAACATATGAATTTTGTTTCTCTTTTTCTCATCCCTTACAAGCATTTTTCAAAGATCCCTGCCCAGCAGGAAGCTACAAACCAGCATGCTTTAAAGATGGAGAAAAGAGAATACATAGAAATATTAATTGTGGAAGAGTTGATAATAAAGCTGCTTCTTTCACTGTTTTGCCTTTCTAATTGCCTGCATACATGTTAATATTACAATCGTGATTTTAAATGCATGACAGTGTGAACCACAGGGTCACATACCCCACAGGCATTATCCTTTGAAAAGCGTAAATATGGTTGAGATTTGGATCAGCGCTAACCCTAATTATGCTTGGCACTTATCACCTCATACTATTAAATAAGATTGAGTTTCACTCAAAATCTAAATAATTCTTTAGAGTTAAAAGCTAACCAATTGAAAGTCAACTAATATTTATGTCATTCTTTTTAATAAGTTATCATGAAAGAAATCATGGCAGTTCTTTGCAAGATCAATAGTTTGTGGAAGCAGACTAATAAAAGATAGGGCCTGGATTCAAACTAAGCACAGAATGTACAGTATGGACACATGAATCTAAGCACAGAAGATTTGTTGTCAGTTTTGGACTAAATGAACATGGGATAATGTAGACAGCAAGTCTATTTATTGTAGAAAGTAAAAGAGCTGTAATACTTCTATGTTCTTTTCCCTTAACGACTTATTTTAAAATACTTTTATATTACCCAACTCATTTTATTCATATATATATATATATTGTGATACAAAACATTACGCATTTACCTTATTAATGGATTTGGTTTGAGTTATTTGTATGACCAGAATTTGCAAATATTTATAGATTTATTAGGTTGAATTTTTCTTTTTCCTACTGAGGATTGAAGCTGATATATATGGTATATAAAATGTGTTTGACTCTTCCAGAAATCTTGCACTGACTTCTTTCGTAAACTTTGTGTCGAAAATATAATTTAGGATTGTGCAATTTTTGCATTTCTTTGCTTTAAATGATGCTACAAAACACGGAAAGAGTTTATATGAGTTCCTCTACCTCCATCGTAATTTTTCTAGATATGTGCAACTGCTTCAGCTACCTTCAATTATTTTTGCATATATGCACATGCAGCATTCCGCATCACATTTTTCCCACTGATGCATAAGCAACACACACAAGTCTAGTAGGTGTGGCTTCCAAAACAGGGACACAAACTAGAAAAAGACATGGCTGCTTTAATAATTTAAATAGGAAATATTTTCAATACACTTCTGCACCTTCCGAAGCAAGGAATTCAAGGGATTGCCATAGTTCTAAAAAAAATATATTATGTAGCAATACTGTCTTTATTTCCTAGTAGGTGACTGAAGCAGGGCTGTGGTAAGGAGGAAGTAGCTTTATAGTTGGCTCATACTGTGGGCAGGTCTGGGTCAGAACAATTAGAGAAAATATAGAACATATTATTTCTGTACAAAGTTACATCTATTCCAGCAGCCCCTAATCTTTTAGGTGCCAGAGGTCAGTTTTGTGGAGGGTGTCTTTTCTACAGACAAGGGGGGCATCGTTTTGTGAACTGTCTGGATCCTTTGCATGCATGGATGGGGTTTCAAGCCAGTCCATAGACCAGGGGTTGGGAACCCCTGATCTATTCAATGTGAATGATATTTTTAATAAAGTTCTAAATGGCAGCCTTGTCTTTTCCAGTTTGATCAGACCTGAAAAAAAATTGCTGCAATGAAGGCTGAACATAATTACAATTGCAGGTATGTCAGATGGTGGGAAAATAATAAACTCGCCATGCAAGTGGATTAGACACAACTGAACTTCATATTGTGAACTGAATATTTTTTTTTTCCTAGTTTCTTTCCTGCCCTACATTGTGGATTATAATTGACAGCTCTGCTGAAAAGTAAATTAAACAATATTCAACACTTCTGATATAAAAGACTCAAAAGCAAATTTAAAACAAATTAAGATATTACAATTGTGAAATGCTGTTCATGATAACCAGGAACTAAAGATGCAGGTCAAATATACTGCACTCATGAGCTCAATTTATTTTTTAAACTTTCTTCAAAGAGTGAACATTAGCCCAAACATGAATTATGTTCCTAGGAAACCAGAATGTAAATTCAAACTTATACAACAAAAATCTAGCTATTTTCTGAATGGGCATCAACCATTTAGGATGATGTAGAATGAAAACTGGGCTCAAGTTTAAAATATTTGTACTCAAGAAGCAGCTTTTCATCCAATAAAGATATTTACTGGCAAGCTTTAATATTGATACAGCATAAACAAGATAAACAAAAGAATTATTTTCTAAAGTGCTCTGCTTTACAAATGAGTCCGCAAACGTGGTACCTCTTTCATGGGAAAAGATACTATTCAACATCTAGAGTAATTAATGAATAAAAAGCCAGATTCAAAGCAAGACATCAACTGTCAGCCACACAAATATTTAACTGAAGATATGTTTTTTATAAACTAACAAAAACATTTTATAAAGGAAACAGAAAAACTTTTTAAGAAGCACTTTTATCGCTCTTTTTCTAAGGTTTACCTTAGAAAAAATTAATTACTCCAATCCAGCAGCCCTCAAGCAGTCGCATTCACGACAAACCATTTTATATCAAATTTATATTTCACTATTAAAGAAATAAAGGGAGTCTAGTATAGATCTATTTCAAGCTATTTAGCTCTCATCAGCTAGCCATGCCCTTACTTGGATTTGAACTTGGGCTGCTCGAATGTTAGGCAGTTGTATTAACAAGTTTTTCATCAGCTTGAGCCAGGGGAGAGATTAAGTGTTTTTCCATTACTTCTATTGTTTTTCTACCTGGTCTACCCCAGCATGAGGGAGGGAGCATACTGCATCCCTTTTGCCTTTTGCCTTCTCCCACGTAAAATTGGAAGTGCTTGGCGATGTTTCGACGAAGTCTCATTCGTCATCTTCAGGCTGGTGTTCTCGGCTTCGTGCTTCCAGGAGCAATGTGAGATCGCAGCTGTCTCTTCCTTTTAACTGCTAGTGGGGGTGTGAGCTGATTGGGTGGGAACTTGGCTTTGTTCTGATTGGGTGGAGGTTTGTTCTGATTGGTTAGGGTTAGAGTTAGAAAATCAAGGAGTATATGAAATCCCATGCACCGCCTGCCCCACCACATACATCGGACAAACCAACAGACGAATAAGTGCACGCATAGAAGAACACAAGAACTCAGTCAGAAAAGAGGAACCAACTTCTTCCCTGGTCCAACACCTTAAAGCCACAGGACATGATATTGACTTTAAAAAGACCAGAACTATCGCCAAAACTGAACACTTTAACAACAGAATAATCAGAGAAGCCATCGAGATAGAAAAACGCCCACACAGCATGAACAAACGAGACGATACCTCCCGCCTACCAGCCATTTGGAAACCCGCCCTTATTGACAAACGAGTCCCTAACATGACGAATGACACCAGACCCACACTCACGAGAGCCACACAGGATGTCACCACCACACATCCACGCAGAAAGCAGATTCAAACCCACACTGATAATGAGCCACGACCAAGGACCAGAAGCCAGACTGCAGCTGCATCATTAGCCACTTTAAATCCCTCCAATCCATACATGAAGCAGACTGACACCCACCATGAAGAGCTCGCACGGCCACAAACACGAAGCCAAACAACAACAACGCAGCTCACCAGCTCAAATCCCCCTGCAACTCAGACTAAGCTGAGCACAACCAAGCCCCCACCCAAACAGAACACACCCCCAGCCAATCAGAGCACAGCCAAGCCCCTAACCAATCAGAACACACCTCCACCCAATCAGAACACAGCCAAGTTCCCACCCAATCAGCTCACACCCCCACTAGCAGTTAAAAGGAAGAGACAGCTGCGAGCTCACATTGCTCCTGGAAGCACGAAGCCGAGAACACCAGCCTGAAGATGACGAATGAGACTTCGTCGAAACGTCGCCAAGACACTTCCAATTTTACATGGGAGAAGACCCGAATAACCAAAGACCTACATATAAGCTAAGATGTTATACAGCCCTGGTTCTGTGAATTCTCATTCACAAGTTTCTGGGCTTTTTGTTTCTTGCTGACAGACAGCAGACTCTGTGCTGCCCTTTGGGAGACTCAGGCAGCACAGAGTCTGCTGTCTGTCAGCAAGAAACAAAAAGCCCAGAAACTTGTGAATGAGAATTCACAGAACCAGGGCTGTATAACATCTTAGCTTACGTAGGTAAAACCTGGCTAGAAAGAATATGCACATAAAAGCCTACGAAAAAGAAAGAAAAAGATATATATATGTTTGTGTGTGTGTGTGTGTGTGT